GTACCAGATCAAAGGCACAAAGTAATACTAGGAACAAGGAACGGGATTATCTCTTATTCGATCCATACCCCGGGGCCTAGTACAGTCCCTGGTGCATAGTGATTGCTCAACATCTACTTAATTTGCTGAGTGCCTACTAAGTGTCTGGCATTATAATAGGCATTAGAAATAGAGTCGTGTAAAACATCTCTAACATCAAGAAGCTCATATGTGTTGGAACTGCTATAGAAAACCTCAGGACAGAGATGAGCCTGGGAAGAGGGAGAAAACGCAGGCAGGAATAAATGAGGTAAAAGGATGGAAACAAAGGCACTGGTGCAGGACTCAAAACAATACTGTGGATGATGACAGGGGTGAGTAGGACAATGGGTAGAATTTATCTCCTAATGGGTAGAATTTATCTCCCAAGCAGAGAATTTATGAGGAAGGGAGTGAGAGAAAAGGCAGATGGATTAAAGAAAATCTACTTAATAACTTGGAAATATGTGCAAGAACCAAATAACACTATTTTAATTCTGAGAATGGACCTCATAGAAGATATTTATGTTGCAGTTGATTTGAGTACTGGAAATAAACTAGTTGGCTCAGGCAGTGAAATTTATTATAAGGATCATTAAGGAACTATTCCACTACATGCCATTCTCTTCTCTGATTACCCAGCCATTCTCATCATTGATATGGGCCTGAGGGCAGTGCACACAGTTTATATTATGGTAGGCATAAGGAAAAAAAAAGTGAGCTTTATTAGGCATTTTCTTAGATTTTCTTAATAGTAATGATTGAAAATGACAAGCATTTTAACTAATGGTAGTTCTACCAATTGTGTGAATTAGAATATATTAAATATTGCTTTAGGGAGGTAAAAGATGTTATAAAAGAATACTTAGGTGAGTTGGAAATGCCAGAGAAAAATATCCTACTCTGGCCTGGAGAAGCCAGCTAACAGAAATTCAATAATAGGGGGAGGTGGGAGGAGTTATAGTCAAAGAAATTTTCTTTATGATAAAACTGATAAATGAGTATAATTTTATTCCCTTCTTGCAGATAGAAGCCTTTAGTGTATTTCAGTGAAATGTGTTCGAGGTGAAAGATTTTGTGTTTTATATAAGTAGTATAAAGAATAAACAGTTTGGGGGAAACATAGTTAAGATTCTTCCCCTTTGACAGTTCTCTTTTCAAAAAATAAGAAATAAATGCATTACAAGATGACCCTGAGAATCCTAGACAGAAGTAGGAAATAGTCTACACACAACCCAGCCAGGCAATTTCAAAGTCTTAAATTGTCATTCTTTTTGTAGCCTAACGTAGTCAAAACATTTGGAGTCAGGCAGTTCTGGATTATAATCCCAAATTTTTGGCTGTTTACCTGTGTGATCTTGGGCACTCTGCCTAACATCTCTAATGTTAAGATGCCTACTTTATAAAATCAGACTTAGAATACTTAGCCACACAGAGGGTGGTTGTTGACAATGAATAAAATTAACAGGATGCTGCATGTAAATTGTTTAGCACAATGCTTTGTAGCTCAAAGTGTGTGATATTAATAGTTAATTATTATTGTTGACATTTTTGGTGTTACTATTATTATATTACTGAACTGGGAATACTCTGAATTTACTCAAAAGACTTATGTTTGGGTCCCAGATCAGCTACTAGTAAGGATCTCTACCTACAAATGGTAATACTATGATAACAATAATCTCTGCTTTGCCTAAATCACAGATTATGGGGGCTCTAAAGGTAATCTGTGTGCAAACTATAAACTGTTAAACAAATTAAAGGATTTTTCCCCTTTCTAGAGTACATTCCCAAATGAAAGACATTCACGTATAAGGTCACATGCCTCTATTTAATGCACTATGAATATAGTAGTACTCTTAATACAAGGGAAAAGGAATATCTATATAGTCTTTCAGCAATGGTGACCTATTATGAATCTGATTCTTCAAAGTTGTATTAATATGTAATCTTCCTGCTATAAAGGTTAGTTTTATAAACATCTAGTAGTATATAATTCACTCAAGTTTAAAACTTGACCCTCTGCTAATAAAATGTGAATATAAATAGGTTATTTCTACTACAAAATAATGGAGCGTAAATGCTTACTAATAATTCCTGCTTCAAAGATTAACATGAGAACAAATGTACTTTTTAAAAATAAACACAAAACCAGGATACAGTTAAGGAAAAAAAAATTCCTTAAACTGTTGGACATCATCTAACTGATTTTGGAAGAATGTCAGTAGTTAATTTTACATTTTGCACATGAATTGCAAGAAGTCTGGGATTCTAAGACTTCTTGCAATTCAGGTGACAGGTTTTGCTTGTATAAAAAATTACAGAAGGCCTGTCCAGAGCTCAGTGGCAAATGGATGGATTGGAGGCCAGTGGAAATTATAACTCAAATTTTCACTAATTTAGCCCCAAAGCTTATGACTGCACATGAACCACATAAAAAATATTTCTTCTTATCATGTAGAACAGATGGAATTTAAATATTCTCCTCCACCTGTATCTGGTATCTTGTGATTTTAAGAGTAAAGATTTGGGTTAGATGAAAGGCAGCCTTAGGAAATTACTATAAGTAAACTATGAAGAGAGTAAAAATATACTTTATGTACTCATAGTTAGACCACATATTCCTTGTTGGTGTCCTTGTTCTCTTTTTACCTCCAGCTGGAATTCTAGACTGAGTAGGATGGCAAGGAAATGAAGGTAGAGTCAAAGTGGGCACTACTGCATACTATTTATCCAATATTGTTACAATGATTCATCAAAAATAAAAGTGGGCTGGCGTGCAATGATGGCTTTGGTCTTGATATTTGAAAGTAAAAGAAGGTTTAAGAATTCAAGATGTACACTGTGACTCCCCCGCAAACCCCGTTCAATACTTGCATAGTTCTGTGCATGCAAGAAATAGGATTTGACTGAATAGGATTACAAATGCTTTTTGCTCAATTTCAACTAACCTTCTCTGCTTTTTCTTTCTATCTGTAGTAATTATACTTATCTCATATATTTTAGTGCAAAGCTCCTTTAAAATAATAAGGCCCATAATAATATATCAAAAGGAATAAATTCCTAAAAGAAGTTCAAGACACGGGAAGCCATATATCTGTGCTGAAAAGAAAGGTTTAGCTGACCTCTAAGAGAATCCAACAGTGTAATCATTGTTTAGAGCAGTTCAAAGATCTGCTTAGTGTCTATGACTTTTGACATTGAGGATGAACATTTAAAATATTTACAAGAGAATGACTGAGTTTTTATTTTTTAAAAAGATAACAGAATAGAACAGCAAGGGTAAGGGTAAATGGATATATGAAAATAAATAAACATGGTCACTTGGAAAACAGTTTTAAAAAGAAAAAATCTCCCTCAGCTAGGAAATGGAAAGGATGTTCAAGCTCCTCCACTATTTAGAGTTGTAAGCAGTGTGGGTGTAAAGCACAGCAAAGAACAACTAGACCCTGTGAATTTTCTACAAGAGGAGTGGGTGTACAAATAAATAATAAACATGCAAGATACAGCTACAGAAATAGAGGCATGCATATCCATACAAAATAGATCACACAACAGAGGAGAGCTAATCTGCATAGTTGTGTGCACAACGATCAAAGTAAAAATAAGCTACTTAACAAAAACGAAATGTCACCCAAATGCTATATGACAACATTCGCATGAGAAAAGAACAAAATCCATAGTCTGGGATGTGAAAAATGTATCCTCCCAATGAACAGATCTCCCCTTGGGAATAAAGGAGCACCCTTACTGGGACTGAAAGGTGTAAATGGGCAGAAAGTTGTTCCAGTGCAATCTCTGCTCCCACAGAGAGGCATGCAAGTCTCTGTAAGCACCTGAGACTTACAGGTGTAAACATCTGCCAAATGGGCTTTGGAGGCTTAAGAGAAACAGCAGCCCTCAAACAGCAGCTCTGTCAACACTGGCAGAAAAAGGGTCTATGTCTTTCAAGGGCTTGATCAGGAAGGCCTCCTGCCTGGGGACAGTCGCAACCACACCCACGTCTTGCTTCTCTGCCTAGTCTTTCTTGGCTCCATCTCTGTCCAGTCTCCAGTTATTTACTGTTAGGTTTTTCTGTGTTTATTATTCACAGCATAGAGAATTGAGCTCTTTTATAAAAAAGATGTTATTTAGAATGTTTACTCATTTAGGTTAAAAAATACCAAATAAGGTTGCATTTGCAGCTCTTCGGAAAATGATTATATGTAAATAAAAATTGGAACCTGATTCTTTTTTTTTAAGATTTTATTTATTTATTTTTAGGGAGGGAAGGGGGGAGGGAGAGAGAGAGAGAGAGAGAGAGAGAGAGAGAGAGAGAGAGAGAGAGAGAGAGAAACATCAATGTGTGGTTGCTGGGGGTTATGGCCTGCAACCCAGGGATGTACCCTGGCTGGGAATCGAACCTGGGACACGTTGGTTCCCAGCCCGCGCTCAATCCACTGAGCTACGCCAGCCAGGGCTGGAACCTGATTCTTAAGATGTAAATTTACATTTAGGAACAAAAAGATGATGTATTATCAAAAAATCAAAATAAAACTATTCAGAGTAAGAAGAAATTGTATCTGAAGTACATTTGGATTAAAGATGACTAAGACAAGTTAACAGGTAAGAGGAAGTCCTGATGTGACTGGGTACAAGTACTCAGCCATGTTCCATAAGAATCATTTCTATGAAATAATTCCAAAGAATAAAGAAGTTGTCAAGTTAAAAAGGAATCTTACAGAATTTCCTAAATGAGATATGCTTTCTACTGCTTACATGTAATGTATACATTTACAAAAAGAAAAATTCAAATTTTTGATGAATAGAAACATTTTTTAAATGATGATCAAGGCTTAAATGAATTCTATGACCCAGTGAACATAATACCTAGAAACAAAAGCAATTTAAAAAAATGTAGCAAATCATCAGCATTAACAAATTTGCTCTCTAACTATTCTGCATGGTTTACTTGCTGGTTCACATCTTCAAAAGTTCCTTACCTGGGCTGACTGTTTGCCTGTTCATGTTTTCCACTGAAGTTCAAACTACAGAGATTTTCCAATTTTAAATGTGAAGAGTCTGATCCCAAATTTTCCTGTGTTTGTTCTCTCAGACGATCGTGGAGTGTTACCTCCTTTTTCAAGTTCATGTCAGAATACGGGCAGCCAAAAGCACTGGTTTGTAATAAAATGAGAACATAGTCGTCAGTTTATAGTGATAAATCAGTGATCCACTGTCATTGGAACAGACATACATCCAGTATTTTAAAACTGAGTAGACATTCTTCTTTGATTAAACACACTCAAATAAGTTTCTTTTCATATTGTCCTTTGAGAAAAATTTCAGGTCCTAGACACTGGTCAGCAGTCAACAGAATGTATGGTTTTTACAATTTTGGAAACTTAAAAACCTAAGAATAATATAAAGATGTGCTTCCAATGGAGCAATGAAAATATTATATAAACACCATTCTAATATTTCCTCCAATATTTATGCAGTGGTTTGACTATATCACAAATATTATGGGTAACTAAAATATTTACCACTGTCAGAGAATATTATGCTTTTGTTTCTTAACATTCTGTACCCAGAAATGCGGTATCTGGATTCAACTTACTCCTCCAGAACCTCACTAGGAAGCTTTGGGTTTGAGTGGGAAGGGACAGCTGCAGGTGAGAGAGGATGGACTGGTGTCAGGGCTGAGCCCTGCAGCCTGGATGTGGTTGAGCCTAACTGCAGCCTGGGGCAGAAGGATCCGCCTGGACAGACGATCAGGTTCCACAGGCTGACCGATTGTCCCTGTTAGATTTCTGTGCACACATCCCTGTCTCCAAAGAGGCCCCAAACCTCTGCTGCTGTTAGGAGTGGGGCAGCCACTGTTGGTAAAAGCACAGGCATAACAGGAAGTTGCCTGCACATGACCCCAGGTAAAACATTTCTTGCTGGAGCTTCAGTTTCTCTCCAGTAAAATGAAACTGAATCTAACTCATAATGGTTGTTGTGACCATAAATCTCTCCCTCTCTCTCTCTCTCTCTCTCTCACACACACATACACACAACACACACACACACACACACACACACACACACACACACACATCATCATCATCACCCGGTAGCTGCCGTCATTACCACAGTATTATCATCTGTATCTAGGAAAGCCCATAGTCAAATGCTTTAATGTTTAGGCAGTTGGTTCTTCTTTAGGAATTAATTTCCTATTTACTGTAAATTTGCTGATACATGGTATATAATAAACTCTTTCTGAATATGTGAAAGACTTCTGTTATTTTAAGGTTATGATAAAATCAGGGACCAATGTGGTTTTTCTTTTATTTTATTATTATTTTTTTTACCATCAGATGTGATGATTTATTATTAAAGCACCCGTTTTTTGTTTAATATAAATGTAAAAACATAACCTTCCCTCCCAGTCAACCAGGTAATTTAGGCAGTTTATTAAACCCAAAGCAGTGAGCTGCACAATAAGAAAGGAAGAAAATGTATTTCTGTCCAACTGTCTTTCTTTTCCTGAAATCTAGGAAGACAGATTTGGGGCAGAGGTGATTCCAAATAATGATCACAGTCAAAGAAAGAAACTCCTTCATGCAATTAGTCTCATTTCATTTCATTTTTAATTCTTAGAGGTGCCAGCACCTAACATGAAAAACGTTGTCTCCTTTTTGCTCTTTGCACTGTTTTGTGAATTTTTATTTCTTCCAGAAGACTCTTGTCAGCTCCTCATTCACATAATAAGTACATCGAGTTTTCCACGGAGAGCCTATAATCAGCCTAGTCTTGGAGGGACTGTAGTGCTCATGTACACCTGGAATTTGGGACAGGGTGGTCAGAATGACACCAGCCCCACCCAACATGTCCGGGTGCCGACATCATGGCTGATTTGCTAGCAGCCTTTTCTAGACAAAAGTGCCCCTTTATATGTATTCTCTATAATTTGTAATAATTAGCATTGATTAGTTTATTCGTTTATTGATTGAGCATCTGCTACATGCTAGGCACTTTAGAGAATAGATATCTAGAGAGTTAAGAATTATACACCAATAAATACAATTTATAACAACAAAAAGTTAGCCCTATTGAGTGTATGCTATAGGTCCATTACCATTCACTATGATTTATATATATTATTTCTAATAATTATTACTAAATACCCAAATATGATATTCATATTATTTATTTTACAGGTGAGAAAACAGGCTCGCACAGAATAAGCAACTTTCCAAAAGATGCCTGGCACTTTCTTGGGAAGCCCCCAAATTGATCACCTAATCATTAGCACCAAACAGGTGGGCAGAAGTTGGACAAGGTTTTTAACACCATCAGAAAAAAGGAACACAAAGGAAACCATGGCATAAATCTCGTAGAAAGAGAAGCCAAGGCAGATATTTACAGGGTAAAGCAAGTACTTGGTTTGCCATGGTTCAGGGCTAGAGGGATATATGTCCGCATATGCTAGTCCTTTGTGAGGAATGGAGATGTGATAAAGTACTATTTCCAATAACAACAGAGTAGAAGTGATCTGTTTAAGATGTAGCATATGAGACTTAAGGGAGATTTTAGAAAGAACTTTCTGCAAATAAAAGTTGAAATGCTAACCTAAGGGAGATTGGGAAATGTTTATTTCAAGCACAGCCAAGCAATCATTAAGATACTCTGACTCAGAAGTTTTGCTGCCCATGTAACATATACTCTCAATTTCAGATTTTTTTAATGATCATTATCGTGAATTTTCTTAATTTCATGTCATTACCCCCATATGAGAAAAAAAACTGATTGAAGAGATATGCCTAGGTACGATAAAACCATTTAAAACTTACCTTTCATTTAGTCAAACATTGGGTAAAATGGTTGGAGAAACAGTCTCTTTAGAAAGTTGTTGACATAAACTGAAATGTCTATGACTTAAAGCTCTTTGATCAAGGTAAAACATCAATATCCATCAATTTCTCACATAGAAGGAAATAGCATATTCAAATTTCACTCATTATAGGCAGAGATAAGCAAGAGTAAAAACTTCAGGCTAAAGTCCTGAGTAGCAAGGTCTTGGGGGAGACATGTTCTTTTGGCCAAGCAGACCTTCCCTATCTCTCCTTAATTCGGTTTGTTTGTAGTTTTCAGGGAAAGAAGGAAGAGAGGAAGAGGCAGTGGAAACTATTAGGCTGACTCTAGGAAACTGCAGTTTTAAAAAGTCAGGTAATCAAACATTGGGAATTTCATATGGTTCAAATGAATAATTTATTTTAAAAATGTCAGCCCCAAGCTCTTCAGTAGCAAAGCAGATGAATAGAAGGCAAATGCTAAAGAAGAAAAAAGCTGCTAGACAGTTGTAAACTTTTAAATGAAATTTTTGACAGATCTAAAACTGAGATCCTAATAGTTCTCTTCATAAATAGAAACATAAAAATGACTGCAATTAAAAATATTGGTTTTGCTATGCACCCCAATGTTCATAGCAGCACAATTTACAATAATAGCCAAGTGCTGGAAGCTACCTAAGTGCCCATCAGTATATGAGTGGATCAAAAAATGGTGATACAGTTACATGATGGAATACTATGGAGCAGAAAGAAAGAAAGAGCTCCCACCCTCTGTGACAGCATGGATGAAACTGGAGAACATTATGCTAAGCAAAAATAAGCCAGGTGGTAAAAGCCAAATACCATATGATCTCACCTTTAACAGTAACCTAATAAAACAAACAAACAAACAAGGAAAATATATCCATAAACTTTGAAATAAAGAACAATCTGACAGTAACCAGAGGGGAAGTGGGAGGGTATATTGGGGCTAAGGGAGAAGAGTTGTCAAGGAACATGTGTGAAGCAAAACATGGACAAAGCCAAAGGCCGGTAGAATGGAGGGTGGGAGGTGGGGATAGCTGGGGTGGGAGGGAGTGGTGGGGGAAAATGGAGACAACTGTACTTGAACAAGAGTAAAAAAAAATAAATAAAAATTTAAAACAAAACAAAAAAATATTGGTTTTGCTTCTCAGAATATAAGGTATAATTCTTAACATCTGAGGGTATATGAAAAAGTAAACTATACTTTTTCCTCAAAGAGCTGCCCTGTACTCTTCCGAAGAGTGGCATTCCTGACTGATGTCCCACATTTGAGTTATAATAAGGTTGGGGTTGGAGGGAGCAGTATGAACAGGTGATGCCGAATCCTTGATTTTTGCGTTGAGCCCAACCTCTGAATTCTTTTCTTCCTTTCAGGGCAGGTGTACCTGATTCTACAGGTTGGTGCAGTTTCCCCACATTCCCAGGACCAATCCTGATCTGAGGCTGGAGGAAAGTTGCTAAACTCACTTCTTCATTCCAAAGTCCTAGGGTCCCAACCTGAAGCAGGGTACCAGGTCTGGTACCTACGCTCATGCCTTGTTCACGAGACCTACTCAGCCTCATTGGCACTGGATCCTCTAGCTTCGCGTCTGCCTTGGTCTTTGTTCCTAAATACTTTGTTTGCTGCCATGACTAGAATTCAGGGCTCACCCTGTTAGATGTAAGCCCTGTGTTCCTACTTTGTTTCTGCAAGTCCCTTCCCATAGTAAGACCTCTGCCTCCTAATCTCAACCTAGGAAGCAAGGTTCTACTTCCCAGATATAACCTAGTCAGTCTTCCATGTACTTACACACTGAATTAGTCTCTATTACTATGCTTTGCCCACTAATTGGGATCTCTTCCTTCTCCTTGGATTCTTCTACTTGAGCCAAACCCCTTGGGCACCAGATTCTGCACATGCAACTATATTATCATCTTGTATTAATAATGTTCATTTTCTCATACCCAAGCAGCAAATTTGGTTCCTGCTTGTCTCTAACTACCCTGTTCAACTGGAAATACAGGGCTATGTCAAGTCCTAGGAGGTAAACAGTTTGGACCACGAGGTTATAACAAAGTTGTCACAACATACCTTAATGGCAGCTTCCCGGTCAGTTTGCAGCTACACCCCCAGGGTGGCTAGGAGGGGCCTGGGGCCCCAGAGTCCCCAGCCAGTCCTTGTAGCCCGAGCAGCCCCCTCCAGGCTCTAAATCCCTTCCTGTTCCCAAGTTCTAATATCATTTTCTCTCTGTGACACAACGTTAAGAGGTTAGGAAGCATTACAAATTTAAGCAAAAGGCAAAAATAAAACAGCCCCCTTAAGTGCTGTACTT